AACTCCTTCCTACTGGGATTAGTTGATGTGCTGGGAATCCCAGCTGACCTGTCAACACTGACAGTGTAGGTGGTAACCAGTACGCTGCTGCGGATCATCTTTATCAAACCTTATGTGGCTCCAGATGAATGTTTAATGAAGCATTTTGTGCATCTCCGTCTTTTAAAAAGCTGCAGAGGTCTTCTCCACTGAAGATATTTGAACACATTATTAAATTGTTGCTTTTAAAACACATCTGGACAGATGTTCACTGCTAATATGTCGCTAACATTAGCAACGAAAATGGTTTTCTAACCTTTTTCAAACAAAAATGACTCCCACACATTTACAGTAAAAGAAAGCTTCAAATACATTTAGACAGGCTGGAAACAGGCTAGCTTTATGCTAGTGCCCACTGTGTTTCCTATAGTAATGATGTGCACTGTTCTCCTGTTTAACTCTGACCTGCTGCAGTATTTCACAGCAGAACCATGTGGACTAAACAGATGTGCAGACGATGGCCACGTTTAACTGGCTTTGCTATCAGCGAACCCTGCAGCGTCCCAGCACAGACGTGTCTGTGATTACCTGCAGCACTGAGGCTGCTCGTTGTCTTTGTGAGTGTGTAAATAAATACAAAGCTGACTTCATGAAAAGAACTGTTTCCAATTTAATTCACTACCTGGATTATCTTCATTGAAATACTCGAAACATTCATCACAACATCATATTCATACCGCGAGAAGCAGCAACATTGTAGCCGTGGGAAAAGTCCAACATCGTGAGATTCAAATGTTTGTGTTTACAGCCAAACACGTGATTTTCTGGGACTGTTTGGGGCGATCGGCTGGGGGACCAAAAATTAAGGACACATAGTGATGAACTGTGTTGTGTAGAAACCTGTAAGGCAGGGGTCTCAAACTGAAGTGGGCGGTGGACCACTGTGGTCTCATTGGACGGCCACTTTAGTGTTTCAGGAGCACGAAACAAACAAACAAAGTGTTTGTTTGTTTGTTTACATTTCAAATGTTGCATAAGAAGATAAAACTGACTCCTCACTAACTGGAGCCTTTGGTCCTCTCTGCCCGTGCAGACACGTGGCACACTTCAACGGCCGAACCGCAT